AATGCCAGCGTCCGCAGTAGATGAGGTTATTCTGACCGAGTGATGTGTGTTAACCCCGGCGCTTGTAGCTGCGATCTTTGTGCCGGACTGCTTGCCTTTCGATGGACAACTGTCTTGGCATGTACACGCAAACACCCACGTTTAGTGTAAAGCCGCCAATGTCCCCCTTGAGCGCGCCAGAACATCATTTCAGGGTAGGCTTTGGGCCCTGGCCAAGGCTGCGTTGGGGGCGGAGGTCGCTGCGTTGAAGGCCGAGCTGGAGGCGTAGACGAACCACTGCATGATGGATCGTGCTTGGGAGTTTCAGTTGATCCGCAAGCTGCGTGCCTGTCTTGGGCAGGCGGTGCGTGGATCCTCAGGAAACCTGGAGGCTCAAGTCGGTGATTACTGAGTTTGTTTTTTGGCTTTGTTGCGCGTGTTTTGGGCAGGACCCGCGTGGATCAGTCGAGGCCGAGCAACTCATCGAAGATCCAGAAGGCGCATGCTGAAGTTGCTCTCGCGTGATTCGCCGTCGGCCTGCTTTCAGCGACCTTGTCCCAGCCGCTCAATCCTCGCCCCCGACATGTAGACATGTTTTCTGGATAGCCGGTTGCTGCGAATGAAGACCCATGCAGACGTGCAAGTTCGGAGATAGCCGCATCGTTCCCTTCCCAGGTGGCGTAGCTCCGGGAACCGTGGAGGCTTGGCCCCAGGTGATTTTTGCCCACATTTACTGTGGGGTTCTAGTTGTCTCGATGTGGCATCGCCCGGCGCCCGCAGCGTGCTCTTCCGTCGCGCGCCTGTGTTGTTTCAAGACTCGCGCTCTTACTCGAGACATCCTCTTGCTCGAGACATCCTCAAAAAATGAACGTTTTTTTGATCGATGATGGATCCAACTGAGAGGCTCGCTCGAGACATCCTCAAAAACTATCGCGTTTTTTAGACTTTTTGAATTATCAAGAAATGCGCTCCCGTGCGCGACAATTCGATGTTTTTTGAGCCTCTGAACATCTCCGTTTCTTCTAAAATCGCGTCGCGCTCTCGCTCGAGACATCCTCAAAAAATGAACGTTTTTATATCGATGATGGACCCAACAGAGAGGCGAGATCGCCTGTAAAGTAGTCTTGCTAGGGGGGGGTCCATATCGGTTTGGTCGCGCTCCGATTTTCAAAAATCGGAGTCCCTATCGAGACATGCTCAAAATTCCGAATTCTGCATTTTCAAAAATTGTGCTCCCGCGTGAGACAGCTCGATTTTTTTGACTTTCTGATGATTTTCGCATCATCAATAATCGCGCTCTCGCTCGAGACATCCTCGAAATATTTCTTCGGTTTATCTTGATTTAAATCGGTCAAAATTGCGCTCCCCCCGTGCGGAGCATTCGCTAAATTTTGATGATTTATCTTCAAAAATCGCGCCCCCGCTCGAGACATCCTCGCGCGCTCCCGCTCGAGACATCTTCAAAATTTCGTCGATTTATTTTCTCAAGAGGGAGGTTCTTGGGGTGTCGTTTTGGTATAGGATTGGTATAGGATTCGTCGTATTCATCGTTCAACAATTGATCGTTTAAGAAAGGATTTCTGTACCAATTCCGTACCAAACTGATCCGTTCAAGATCGTCCTCTTTTGATGAAAATCGCGCTCCCGTGCGGAGCATCCTCAGAAGTTTGAAAAAATCGCGCGCCCGTGCGGAGCATCCTCATAATTTTGAAAAAATCGTGCTCCCGTGCGGAGCATCCTCAAAATTTTGAAGAAAATCGTGCTCTCGTGCGGAGCATCCTCAAAATTTTGAAGAAAATCGCGCTCCCGGCGGAGCATCCTCATAATTTTGAAGAAAATCGCGCTCCCGTGCAGCGCATCCTCGAAATTTTCAACTACAAACTCGCGCTCCCGTGCGGAGCATCCTGAAGATTTCGTTCAAAATCGCGCTCCCGGGCGGAGCATCCTCAAAATTTTGAAGTTATTTCGTTCAAAATCGCGCTGCCGTGTGGAGCATTCTGAAAATTTTGACGACAATTGCGCTCTCGTGCGGAGCATCCTCGAAATTTCATTGAGTCTTCGTTCAGAGTCGTGCTCCCGTGTGGAGCATTCTCAAAATTCGGTTGATTTTTGATTATGTATGACTATACATACATACATACATACATGCATGCATGCATACATACATACTTGACTTGACAGCGTTTTCATGAGTACATACAAGCTGAGACATGGTCAGAAGCTGTGACCCAACCTGTTCACTAGAACAGCGCTCATCGCGCTCCCCCAGCAAAGGTTCGGAGGCACGGGCCCACCAGCATTCTTTCATACATGTCTTCTTGTATGGCCGGGCGACGCTATCTTAATAGTATATCATTTAAATCCAGGGTAACTTACACATGTGGGGTTCTCCGGTCCTTTAATTGTTATTGCTAGTTTCATGACGGTTTTTGTTTTTATCATTATGATTGTCACTCTTGTTGTTAGCAGCATATTGGCGGTCATGGCCCAGGCAACCAAGAAGATACAAAAGCTCTTCTGCGGCTGGATCATGGCCCGGGCAGCCTTGAAGATACAAAAGCTCTTCAAGGGCTGGTGCGATAGACGGCACGTTATGTTGGTCCGCTTCGCGCGGCTGTTGGGATTCGACTGAGATTAGGGACAGAACCAACGAACATTCGCGGGGAAATAAAATGGCGAAAGAAAGCAAGAAGCAAACGGGGAAATAAGTAATCAAAGCAAAAACACTACAAAGACATTGTAAACCATAGCGAGCATGACAAAAGCGACAGACAGAAGGGAAGACCGAACTGAAACACGAGACACATGTGGGTAGCGGGGTTAGTTGTAACTTTTTTGCTTAGTTGTAATTTTTTTTTGCATAGTTGTAACTTTTGGTCCTGAACTGTTGGCAGGTGCAGTATTTGGCCTCCCCGTCCCTCCCCGGCCCCCCCTCGCTCCACCGCTCTCCCCCCCCTCCCCCGTCAACCCGAATTCGTGGTGTACGTATGTTCTCATGTACGTGTACGGGTAGGGGGCGCGTGGGTGTATACGGGTGGGGGGCGCGTGTCTAAAAACTCTAAACCTTAAAAACCCTAAAACCCTAAACCCTCAAAATCCTAAACCAGACCCTAAAACCCTGATGCGCGTGTCCAAAATCTCTAAACCCTAAAAACCCTACACCCTAAAAATCCAAAACCACAAAAACCTTAAAAACCCTAAACCCTAAAAACCTTAAAAACATTAAAACCCTAAGCCGCAAAAACCCACCTAAACCCTAGAAACCCCCCTAAAATCCTTAACCCTAAAAACCTTAAACAGCCCTAAACCCAAATATCCCTAAACCCTAAAAACCCTAAACCCGAAAAACTTCAAACCCTACAAACCCTCGGCAGTGGATACAGATTCGAGGAGTGCGCGCTGGATGCAAGAAGAGTGCGCATTGGATGATGATTTGGGAGTGCGTGCTGAGCAAACAGGACTGCACGCACTGCCTAAACCCTAAAAACCCTGAGCCGTAAAAACCACCCAAACCCTAAAAACCCTAAATCCTAAAAACCCTAAACCCTAGAAACCCTAAACCCTAGAAACCCTAAACCCTATAAACCCCAAACCCTGAAAATCCTAAACCGTAAAAACCCTACACCGTGAAAACCCTAAACCCTAAAAACTTTAAACCTAAAAACCCTAAACCCCAAAAACCCTAAACCCGCAAAATGAAAACCTAAAAACCCTAAACCCTAAAAACCCTAAATCCTAAAACCCTAAACCCTAAAAACCCTAAAACCCAAACCCCTTAACCCTGAAACCCTGATGCGCGTGTCTGAAAGCTCTAAACCCTAAAAACCCTAAAGCCTGAAAACCCTAAGCCCTAAAAATTCTAAACCACAAAAACCCCAAAAACCCTAGACCCTAAAAACCCTAAACCTCCGAAGGAGCAGGCCAGCAGGCAGTGTGGTGACATGCCATCTCCTGAAAACGCAAAATGAAAACCACAAGACGCGAAAAGTGTTGCTAATGCACACATATACACGGTAGAAGTGCTTGACAAAGTACGAGATCAAGACTGTTTTTGGCACTGTGTCAAGCTGGATCTCCTTCAAGTTCTTGCTGAAATCACAATTAAGGTTTAGGGGTTTAGGGGTTTAGGGGTTTGTTCAGGTGCAGGTCGCTGCCACACAGCGAGCTTTTGCCGCCATCCCGGCCGACGGCTCTGTCGCAGCCTGGGGTGACCCGAAGCTCTCGGTGCTAAAAAAGGGGGTTTAGGGTTTCGAAGTTTAGGGTTTGAGGGTTTAGGGTTTTAGGGTATAGTCTAGGATTGTAGTTATCTCCAATAATTTTTTTGTCCCAAGTTAAGTGGTGCAACAGAGCTTCAGGGTTAACCTCAAATTGTGGAGGTTCAGGGTAAAGCACCTAAGTTGCTTACTGCAAACTTGTCAGGCAGGCGGGGCCCCTCCGCAGACTCTCGCCGTTGAAACACCAGTTTAAGGAATTCGAAAAAGAAAAATGTCAGAGCTTCGCTGATGCTGATGATGCTGGCTTGCCTCGGTGCTGATGATGCTGGCTTGCCTCGGGCGGTCAGGTAAAAGGGCAGGCAGCTGATGCTCATGATGCTGGCTTGTCTTGGGAGTTCAGGCACGTGCAATTACCTCGAGCTGTCAGACGCTATCATACGGTCAATTATCCAAGATGATAGGAACTTGATTTTATTTTTGAGGGAAACCTCAAAAAACAGCCAGAAATCCATACGTCCAACAAAGGGGACAACATGTTTGTCCAAATCTTGTGAAAACTAGGACAGTGCTTAAAGAAGTTCCCCCACGCCGCACATGCCAACCGGATGGCCATAACTCTATGCCCATTCCTCCCAGTCTTGATTCTTGCCACAACGGACAAAAGTCTGCACTTTTGGTGGGTTTACCAAAAAGCCGGTCAAGGATTGCGCTCGCTACCATGTCAACAGTTACGCCGCAAGTAACAAGCACAAGCTTTGACTGTTTTGTATACACACTTAAGCTATAAAGATAAGGGAGTGGAGCAAGGATTCTTCTTCTAACAGCACACAAATCCTTTTTTTAACCCTCCTAGAGTCAATGAATGCAAGTGCTTATGCTTTGAGCAGGTCGAGTTTTAGAAGACGCAAAGTGGTCACACCTAATGAAATTGATCGCGACCAAGAAAGGACGCACAAAAAAACATGCGCAACACAAATATATTGAGACTTTGACGTTGACGGACAAGGATGAACACAAACAGATCAAGAATCAAAGTGAAAAAAAGCAACAACCGCAAAACATATTGGGTGAGATATTGACCAATATAGGGGCGGCCGGCTGATCCTCGTGATGCTGGCTTGCCTCGGGCGGTCAGGTGAAATGGCGGGCAGCTGATACACAGGGTAATTGCTGAAAGCACAGTCTGGGGAGTCTAGGGCTTGGAGACATCCCGTCTTTTGCGCCATGTCATCTCTGATCTCTGCAGGCTGGAAAGGAAGGCCAAGCTCCTGAAGCAAGCGGAGGAGCTGAGGTCGGCACAGCTTGCAGCACCTCACGCATCGGATCAGACGCATCTGCATGTGAAGCATTGAGAGAAAACAGCCTGTACCCAAGGGATATCAGCAAATGCTTCCTCAATGAGGCAGCAACAAGAGCAGCTGAAGCAAAAGAAGGCCGGCTCGATGGCCCTCCGTTCGGAAATCTAGCTTGCCACATATTTTCTGAAGCTCAACATCCCATGCAAATGCAAACTGTTTCGTTAAGAGCTGCAGTGGTTTATGGAGCCGTTTGGGTTGTTGCAAACAAGCCCAGCACCAAGCCCTCCGCTCCGCTCCGCTGCTCTGCAGGCAGAGGAAGAGGTTGCAAGGCGGGAGCCTTGCAGCGAAGACATTTTGCATCCTCTGAGGGTTTTTTACTCCAGGCGTCAGCGCATGCGCGAGCGTCGGGCCGCGAGAGCTGCGGACGTGGTGCCCTTCTCAACGAAGCCAAGTACCATCTAAATGTTTTCAAGCTTTTGTTGAGGTAGACTGTAGATTTGCACATCGCCGAGGCCGTCGTGCTGGACTGAGCCGGCCGTGCGCTAGCGCAAAACGGCAACGCGTCCTGAGTCCTGATTCTTGGCTATTTGTTTTCACGGCGGTGAGCCAGGAATGTGCTTTGGCTAATTGTGCCTTTCCAGAACATAATTAGCTCGCTATTGCGCTGCACAACGTGACGAGCAACTTGGTGTGCTCAGTGGCTTGAGAACAAGTTGGTAGCTGGCAGATGTTGTTAGGCACCCGCAATCACCCCAGTACCGACCTCCACACCCTACGTGGTTGAGAGCAGACGAATAGCAATTCACCCAGATAAGGTCCCGCTAAGAGAATGTGGGCGGCCCCTCGCACGCGTGATGAGTGTGTATCCCACCAAGAACTTATTCCAAAGCCTCGTGTGCAAGCAGTGTTGTTTAGCATATCCCGGACAGGAAATGCTCACCCTTGGCATGAGAAGCAAAGAGCCATGGGCCTCCCGAAGCTGCCGAACCCAGAGACTTGGATGGCACAAAGATCCACGAAAAGTCGGTTGCTAGTAGGATTAGCAAAGTTTGTGGCAGAAGCCGAGACATTGCTTTGCGGCTTTGCCATGGTAAGGCCTGGTGTGATGTCGACGCAGGAGCTGACCCCTGAGATTTGCAGAGATTTCTTTGTGTGGATCCAGAGTAGACACAGTCCCTATTCGAACCGGAGAGGTTTCAGGACGAAGTGACAGATATGGTACATGAAAGAGCAGAGTAGGTTTGATTTCTTTTTCCGGAGCTCCTTGGCAGTCCGGAGAAGCTTGTCTTCTTGTGACTCAACTTGAAGCAAACCAAGGTGTGGATTGACGCTGATGCAGGAGCCAGAATCAGCCATGACACCTCAAAACCCCCTTGGAGTAGAAGCTCTTTTTTGGGGAGCCGAGAAGGGCGGCTCAGGTTTTGGCAGTGGCAAGGGGCCCTAAGATTCACCCTCCAGGCTTCTCTCATTCTTCAGATTCAAATAGGGTTCACCGGCTCAGTGGGACACAAGAATCTTACATGCGCAACGCAGACTATCTCCGAAGCCTGCACTTTTTTGAGGACCTGCAGCAGCGTCCCGCCCTCAGCTTTCGGTGATTCTGAAATTCTGAACTCAACAACTTTTAGGGGTGCTTCCCAAAGTGCTTTTGCCAGGTTGCGCACTGGCCTAGGCTGTCAACATGTAAGCGAGACGCAGCGGTTGTACACTTCATAGACTTTTGCTTCGAGATCTATTTGGAACGGTTGATTGGCCAAGGCGCCGCAAGCGCAAGAGACGTGCGGAGAGAGTGCAGGCCCCGCTCGCTGAAAAAAATGTCGAGATGTGCTGGAATCTCGACCTCACCCTGCAATGGTGGTTTGTCAAGAAAAGGTCGTAAGTAGGTATAGTTTGAGGTTCTGAAATCCCACAATGGCAGAGCCGCTGTGTTGCTTTGCAGCTCCGGCCGCTAAAGTGACAACGTGTTCCTACACGTTCCGGCGATTGTCTAGTTGCTCCAGCGCCACCTCCACCACCTGAGGTCCATCTGAGCTGCCCATCTCAGTCCGACTGTTCTTGAAGATTCAGTTGAAGCATTTTCTCACCAATGAAGTACAAAATGGCTTGGATCCAGTTCAAGTTCTTTCTTGTCCCGAACAGGAGGACGCACGGGAGAAGCGGGCCAAGGACTCCGGACGGGAAACCTTTAGCCATTAGCCCATCACTTCCAATTGTCCTATTCCTGAGCTCTGCAGGGCGTGTAAAGTTCACGTTGACAGCTTGTCAACATGACGGGGCTTAGATTTCTGAACGCATAGGCTGAGTGGACCCAACGTCGTAGTTGTGTAGGAATTAGGGCGAGAAGTGAGAAACCTGTTCCATGTTAAATCATTCGTGTCGTCTGAAATTGCAGCAGAGAATTTATGAAGCTTTCAAGCCCAACTTCAGACAGTCATGTGAAAGAAACTTCCGTTGCAGGCACGTGCTGCCCCGCGGAGGGTGAGGGCCCCGGTCCATGCAGTGTTGGCAGCCACTTGATGTTGTAGAGCAACCTTCTTGTGTTTTCAATTTCCTCCCGGTGCCCCGTGTGGGACATTGTAAAGGGCTGTCGCACTGCAGCATAGGCAGCGGGAAGGTTGATCCAGTGCTATAAGCGCTTGGGCGTTCACGTCTTCCTGTGAGGGCGGTTACATGGGTTACGTGAGGATGGGTTCGCAGCTGGGTTCAGAGCCAGAGCCCACGCGCAGACCTCAGATCAAGGAAGGCTGAGATTTGAGGCGCTGAGATTCTAAGCTTCTGAGATTCTCGAGGCCGATGCGAAGACCCGTCATGATCCCAGAAGTCACGTGATGCCTTAGCATCGAAGCTGATCAGCGGGGTACAACCGTATTTTTCTCAGCCCCGTTTTTCCGACCAGAGGGGTTCAGCACGCACGACCACCTTTGAGCAGCTTCAAGGAAAACCGCAATCCTCTGTGGTTTCTTTCATCTACAGTGGTTCCTGGCTTTCTTCTTTATAATCATCATCATCATCATGCTAGCAGCCGCGTCATACAGACAGCAACTGAAGGCAGTGGCGATGGGCTCGCTGACCAAGATGGGAAGCGTATGTTTGCTAGAGCCTCAGGCTGTGGCTATGGCAGCCTTCTTCCAGCTCCAGAACTCCTTTGTTCTGATGGTGTCTCTGCATTTTCCGCTTTGAGTGATGTAATGGATGAGACCTGCGATCGCCTGCCCTTTCCACCCCATCAACGCAAAGCTTGGATGGCGAGCCATTTCTCCAACCTGCAAGTCATCCCATCCAAACACGGTCGACGCAAGGAGAATGCGGTGTTCTTTCGATTGGTCGATGAGACTCGGCCGCAGCTAAGTCTTTGGGTTCCTGAGCCTTCGGGCCATGGTCTGAATTATCCTCAGCTCACGAACCGCAAGCATCAGGCTTCGTCTTTTGCTGTCCCAAGGCCGAAGTTGAGAAGTTGGTGGAAGTGGAAGATGCCCGCGCATCCCTTTGCTCGTCGAGGCCTGGGCTTTGTGCTTCCACAAATAGAAGAGGTCAGCATCGTCCCTAGGCCACCACCAGAGCCCATGGACTTGGACGAGAAGGAGGCCAACTCTGACATGCCAAGTTTTTTGGCTGATCCAAAAAGATTACGGTTTCGGTGCTCTTTTCGGTTCTAGGCCTCCTCCCTTTCAGCAGTGCCTCTGCTCCGTGCCTGGCGCAAACTTCTGAGATGCATGCCGCCCTTGCTGCTCTCTCTGACTCTGGCAGGTTTGGGTTGGGTTGGGTTGTTCTTTCGGGTCTTTCTGTTGGGGTCGTTTTGCACAGTTGACCGGTCCAAGGACTGAGGATCGTTTTCCAGCTATGTTGCATTCTGGTCGGAACGGCACAGACACAAGGCAGCTAGCAGAGCTCATGGCAGCTACAGCTAGCAGAGCATGTCCTGGCGAGCCAAACTTCACTGGTGCCAGATGCTTCCACTTATACCCAACCCACGAACCCTGAACGATTAGCCATCCAGGCACCGAAAGAAATGTCAGTCCTGTAGTTCGCCACTGGCGCACGAGCGCTTGGGGATAGATGCTTCTGCTGTACATACTTACGTGGCAAGAGAGCTCGGTGTTTTCACAAAAACTGTTGATCGACGTCATTTGAAAAACCTTGTCTGTGTCTTCATGTTGCCCCGGAACCAGTATATAAAGATGCTAACACTTCGCGCGTGCACAGCGCGTGCATAGCGCGTGGAAGCCCATTGCCAAGCCATTACGCAAGGCCAGTACGTAGGATTGACGGCGACGGGTTCGGTCGGCGAGCACAGCAGAGGGTTTTGCTGTGGCACGCGAAACTGAATCCTGCATCCTGATGGAGATTTGGGCAACGAATTTGGAAACATTGGACAACCCCCGTCAACCTGTAGCTGTCTTGCGCCGACGCGGTGCTGAGAGCCTGAGGGTTTGGCGACTGAGACGTACAACATCCACATGAGCTGGGACAAAAAAACGGATCTCTGCGGTTTATACAGAACTGACACAATTGAGCTTGGCAGGGGCCCTGAATGCTGGATGAACCCACGAAGTATGCGAGATGACGCAGCTAGATTACATTGGCTGGTTGTTAGTAGGCCGGTTTGTTCGTGTATTTCATTGGCACCAAGCAGGAGGTGAGCCAGATTTGCATGGTTAGAGTTAGAGCACGTGGCATGGCAGGCGATCGAGGCTCCCCGGCAAGATGCTGAGGCCGCTGTCGTCAGCCCTGAATACTGTAGCCCTCGACTCCTGTGGAACCAAGCACCTTGAACTTCAGAGCTTAGAGCCCGCTGCGATTCCCAAAAGATAGCGTCTGCCTGCAATTTACAGGTCGCAAAGCTCACCGGAACCTGGGTTCCGGAAGCAAAAGTTGGCACTGCTTCAAAAGAGGTCTGGACACATGGAAGTTCTGCCTACTTGCAGCTGTCCGCCAGATGTCAGTGATGTTGCTTGGGCCCCCAAGCAAAGCATCCTCGAATATTCTGGGTTTGGACCTCCCAGCCTCAACTGGTTGGAGCTGCCACCAGGCACCGAAAAGCCTCCTAAAGACGGTCTTGCGTTCGTCGCGGGAAGAGGACAGTACTGCTTGTTCACCTGCTTCAGCTGCGCTAGATGGCTGCCAGTTCTCTGGGCTAGTGGATTGGGGAAGCGACATTGCAAGAGGACACTTTTCGAGGAGTTCTACAAGGCCGAAGAGTCAAGCAAGCCGACTATGTCTGTCGGATGCATGCGCCTCATGCCAGGCTTCTCCCAGACCCGGGCAGAATGCGGGCCAGGTGCCGCTTCAGCTTGCAGTGCTTGCAGTGCTTGCCGTAGGTGCGCTTTGGAAGGACCTTCCGTTGATACAACATCGCAGAACTTTCGCTGTTCCTGCTACTTTCTTCAGCAGCGTTGAGCGGTGCCAACAAGCCCTTCTGACTTAGCGGTGCTTGTGCACAGAGCCAATCGAGATCTTTGTGCTGAGAACGGAGTAAATAAATCAGGCAAAATACCACTGAGGCAAGGATGGCCCAGGTGGGTCACTTCAC